AGGTAGTGTATACGCTTTAATTATTGTTGACGATTTCTCTAGATATACTTGGACATTCTTTTTGGTGCATAAAAGTGAAGCATTCAAGGCGTTCAAGAAATATACGAAGCAAATTCAAAATGAGAATTCACTAACAATTGCCTCTATAAGAAGCGATCACGGTGGAGAATTCCAAAATGCTCATTTCGAAGAATTTTACGAAGAACATGGAATTTCTCGGCACCAAGAACTCCTCAACAAAATGGTGTTGTAGAAAGAAATAATAGATCATTGATGGAACTTTCAAGGACAATGCTTAGCGACTAAAATATTCCAAAATATTTTTGGGCGGATGCGGTAAGTACGACATTCTTTGTAAGTAATCGTGTAAATATTAGACTTATTCTTAAAAAGACTCCTTATGAACTTTTCAAAGGGAGAAAGCCAAACATTGCTTACTTTCACATATTTGGATCCAAATGCTTTGTCTTGAACAATGACAAATACAATCTTGGTAAGTTTGATAAAAAATCCGCCGAAGGTATATTTCTTGGTTATTCTCTTTCAAGTAAAGCTTATAAAATTTAAAATAAATGCACTTTAACTATTGAAGAATCAATGCATGTAAAATTTGATGAATCTAACCCCTCTAAGAAGGAAATTACTTTTTATGATGATGATGATGATATTTTAGATATTCTTAAAGAAGATACTTCCAAGGAAAAAGAAGATAATCAATCTAAGCATCAAGAAGAAGCAAGTCAACAAGAAGCAAATGACAATGATATACCTAAGAAATGGAGAACTCATAAAGATCATCCATTAATTGATAAATTAATTGGTGATATTAGTCAAGGCGTTACAACTAGACTAAATCTCAAAGATGCATGCTTGAATATGGCGTTTGTCTCACAAATTAAACCATCCAAAGTTGATGAAGCCTTAGGAGACGACCAATGGATTATTTCTATGTAAGAAGAATTAAACCAATTCGAAGGGCATCAAGTTTGGGAGCTTGTTCCTAGGTCGGATATATGATCTTCTTTATAAAACCTACATCTTTCAACTTATTTACCTTATCATAAATAATTAGTTTCTTGTCTTCACCCTTCTCAATTTTCCTCTAGTTGACGAGTTTGAACCCAGTTTTGACCACCAGATGATAACATATTATGTTAGGGACTATTTCGGGATTATTAGAGGACGCCCATGCAAATAGGTCTTTGTTCTTCTAAAGTAACTAGATAACATTGATCTCTTTCTCTTAGGTTAATGATGTCGTTGATGATTTTGGGGACCTATATATATTATTTTAAAATATTCCATTGGCATTAGCGAGTTTTCTAGAGAATCAACCCTAGGGTCTAAATCAACGTAGTTGACTTTGTGGACATTGTGTGAAGAGGTCAATTCCCCTATTCTCTTAAGCCTTAAGCTATCATGGTAACATCTTTTGACAACTTCCTGATTACCTCTAATTACGCCTATTTTCCCCATTGTTCAGGGGTATTTCATCTTCAGGAATAAGGTAGATAGGATAAATCTCAATGCGTTAAGTGTATGCCTGTTGAGGATGATATTATTTAAGGACAAGAGCGTTTACCACCAAATATCAGACTTCTGCAGCCTTGGCATTTTTTTTCTCCTCCAAACATCGTCAACATTGAGATATATCCTCGGACCTGCACCTGCTCTATTGAAAAACCAACAAACGAACTGTAAAATGTTGTAGGTATTCAACATCTATTTTCAAACATTTTAACATATCCCAGTAATATACGTCGACCGAGTTTTCAGGAGATCTCTCTTGACATTCCGACTATGAATCTCCGCGCTTGTCCTCATGGGCTAAGACCACATTTGCATCTCTACAAAAAAAAAGATTTATGGTGAGGAGATAGTTCTTACAGTGGGCGAGATATCAGCGATGTGCATTACCTAACTTGCATATCTCTTTCTTGACGAGCTAGTAGGTCGAACTACTACAAAGTTTTTTGCAATCATATTCAAAGTGCGGGTCGCATGAGGGGCTCATGTTTTCCCCATGAATTTAACTTTTCCTAGATGAGGATGTCATTTGGCCATTTGTTCTCTTATGCAGATTTTGGAAATAGCCTTACACATCTGGGTGTTGATGATGATTACGTGCTCTTAGGGATCACTCTTGTCATCAAACGACAAAATGGATGATTGTTTGAAAATTTCAAGAACTTGAGCATCCCAAACCTCTGCTGCAAGTGGCTGAGTATGAGCTCCCCGCCCTCGGCCACATCTGACTCAGCGTGTTGCTGTTGCAAATCATGGGCGCTCTCATGCAAGGTTTCGTTTTGGAGATGAAACTAATCAATAATGGTCACCATCTCTGCTATGGCTGCTCAATCACAATTGTTGTTGTTGCTACTAGTGGCAGCCCTTATCATCATGAGATATGGCCAAATTGTTGTTGAAAATGATGTATGTGGCCTATGTCAGTTTTATTGGGTCCCACACTAAGCGTCAAATGTAATCGTAAAAGTACACCAATGATAACTTTACTAATGAAGATCAGTAAAGCCATCATCGAATTCTCTTATGAATTGTCTATCTATTCCTCCAACCTTATTCTCCTTATAAAGTAGGTATAACATGTCTTACACAAAAGTCTATAAAAAACAATTTAATGTGGTTATTCTTGATTAATATGATCTCTTAATCGTGATTGAGAATGATGCTTAATTGTTTCAAATCTCATATTTATATATTCTTTCATTAGTCATAAATGTACTTCAAATCATATCTCAATCAAATATTGATAACTAGATTTGGATAGGCATAATCAATCTAACACATTATCTATTTAAACCCTATCCTACTCTTTTAAGTAAGTCCCTAATTAGAACGAACTCTCTTAAATTTGAATTGAATTTTGACAATTTCAAAATCTAACTTAAGAAATCAGCCATGTAGTATCTATTGAGAATAAAGTGTGAGGAAATCTCCCACGTTCTTTAAGAGTATCTACACCTCTCATATCTCATGCACCCTTACAAGTTGCATGATTCATGATGTATGAATTTTATAAGTAAAACTAACACCATATACTTTTTTATGGCATGCATGCATGATTCATGGCCGTATTGGATTCTTTTTTTAAGGGAACTCATGTGTCCCTTTCCATCGCAAACAATTAATTAAGTCACAAATTTATAATTAAGTGCTAACTAACTGGTAAATTTAATTAAGGAAAGATTATAATTTTATAAACGAAACTGGTACTCTAGATTTATAATTTCCGTACATGCCAAACTGTTTAAAAAGTTTATTCGGATAAATTTCATCCTTCACAGTCACATGTGATCAATAGTTAACTTATTCATTGATTAATGACAGAAAACGAATATTGTACCCTCAGTGCAGGCCGCATAATGATATAAAGATTCTCTTTCAAACTATAAAAAATTTAAATTCACACAGTCAATAAACGGTGGAGTATATCATATAAAAAAGTTTTTTAAATAGTAATTAATTTTTCATATTTTAGATCAATTATATTGTGACTTATTTTGACTAGTGCTTCCAATTTGTCTTACGTAACGCTGATTTGGTGCATTTTGTAGTCAGTCAAAAGATGCAATGCCGCACCAATCACAAACGTTGAGTTTGATATCTTCTTCATTCAGCAACCAATCACAACCGTCAAAATTATAGAGATATTTTTAAACAGATTAATTCATCGAATATGAAAGATACAAAAAAATTTAAATTTCGGATTTAAAACAAAACTATTATATAACCTGTGCTCTTGAATTTCGGATTTCCTTCTGACCCTATTCAAATTTGATTTATTTTTAATTGAATTATATAATAAAGAATAAGCATATGTTTTAGATATGTTACGAATTTTTGGGTTAAAGAAATGGAATAGAAAAATGCCGCCCAATACCTCATAACAAGAAATTCGATCTTTAACGCCGTCGCCAACTGTATATATAAACGCGTCAAAGTGCGTTTTCTTTTCCCATTTTCATACCACAAATTTTCAATGCTTCATGCTTATCCATCGCATTTTGTTACTTCCCATGCTTAAACTGTGACCAACATAAAGAGGTTTTGAGGATCGTGTAATTGAGTTGGTGCTGAATCAGGTAGAAGAGTTTTCATCTTTGATATGTTGATTTTTTGTTGCAATTCAGTTTCTGGTTCTTTTTAATGCTTTTGTGTTGATTGGATCATTTGGTTTTGGAGCTTATTTCTATTTTTGTTGGATTGGTATGGTTAAAAATTGGGTTGCTTTGGGTTTCAAGGATCTGGCGTTGTCAATCGCATATAGCAGAAAATATTGGTCTGTTCAAATAGGGCTGCTATAGTTGCTATTTGACAGTATTTTGTACTAGATAGCAGGTTTTAAATACGGTCGCTGTTGCGTAAAGGCTTTCGTGATTTTGGTCGGTACAGGTGTTGCGATCCTACCATGGTTTTCGCGGTGTGAATTAATCACAATTTGTTCTTTATCACAAAAACAGTGAATGATGGTATTAGTTTCGGCACCTTCAGATGCTGTTTTTCGCAGTAACAGATCGTTTTTAAAATCTTGCTAGATAGTTTATTGCAGAACAATAGTGGGTTGGTCAACTGGAGAAGTTTATGGAAGGAGGCAGTTGTTTGATCTTAAAAGTTATGAAGAAAGTATATGCATGATGGTTTCTGCTTTTGTTTATTTTATCCTGGAATCATCCTCTACTCATGACCTTCTGATGTGCAAATTTTGTTTATGTGTTTCTCTTTATAGTCATTCAATAATTGAGATCCTATAACATTTTATGACTGTTTAGACACTTTTAATTTCTGTCATCGCCGGTGCAGTTTAATTTAACACACAATGCCTGCTATGAGAATTTAATGTTATCTGTTCATGATTTAGTATATCACAACTGAAACTCCAGGTTCTAAATGCAGAACTTATTTTGACAGGAGTACAATTGCTGGTGCGGAATCATTCCATAAAAGACTTTCAGATTTGTTGTCATTTTCAATACTCAAAGATGGCTTTACATGAGCATTCAGATGTTGTTCAGTGGGGTATGAATCTTTTTGATGTCGATCCTTGTTATAGTTCTGGATACTACGGTGACATAATTCAACATGATACTGGTGATGTCTATGATGCAAACTACTTTCACAGCCATTACGATTCTGAAAGTAATCAAGTAGAGAACGATGAGATCATTGCACGGACTCTTCAAGAAGAGTTTTCGCAGCTAGAGATTGCCGAGCGTTCGGGCTATTCACAGGCAGATGAAGAACACTATCATGCTTCTGAGCCTTCATATGATTGGCAAAACACACCGATGATGAACTATTGTTCAGGAGGTATCAGTAATCGCACGCATTAAGATGTTGAGTGCTTGTGTATGGTTGAAATATATATATTTTTGCACAATTTGGTTAACTCAATCAAAAGTTTATATGTGCAGGTCATAATTATGTTAATGAAGGAGTTGGTGACATAGAAACTTCTAGCTCATGCTGTAGTCCTGGTGAAGTGGGGGGGTGCTCATTGGAGCTTGTTGACAACTATCCATTTGATGATGAAATAGAGAGGAGATTGAGTGAGATAACTCCTATTCCTGTATGTTTAGCTTCTTGATTTATCATGTATTGAACGGATAATTATATACTCTGCTCCTTTTAATGGTTATTTTGTACCATAGACCTACCTTGTTTACTATGCTCTTTTTTGTTAAGATATTGTTAGCATATAGAATATAAGATAATTATAGTGGTTAAGAGTTAGTTAGTAGAAGTTAATTAGTTGATTAGTTAAGTAATCGTATTTTGGTTATTCTTAGAAAGTATTTAAATAGCCCTCAATTGGTAGAGGGGAGGGATAGCTTTTGGAATAATTGAGTTTTGGGGCTGGTTATTCCAGTATGAAAGGAGAATTCTCCTCTATAAACTTTTTGTATCTTCTCTTTCAACCTCTACAGAAATAAGCAAAACTTCATTTGTTTGCAATCTTTATTCATTTTAATATGTTTTTAATCCATTATCTTAGGAATTTTTTTTTACTCCAAAAAACGATCCTAACAGATATAGTGATAATCTTTTCCCATTAGTTAGTTTATTAGAGAGGATTAGAAGGGAACATAACTAAGGGAAATCAGATTAGGACAATTCATTGACTATATTTTAAAGTGCGTAAGTGAAAGGAGAGCTCCTTCGTGAAGGGGAAAATCTTGGAAGAAAGATATATAACGCTTCTCCCCTCTCAGTCAATTTATTCAACAAAATAATTGTTTTTTTATTCTTTCTATCAATTTGTCTGTGTTCCTAACACCATGTCTTATGATATTAGAAAGTTGATTTCTTTTGATCAGTTGTATGGTCTGCTTAAAAGTTTTGTTTTTACCCTCTTGTGTAGCACATTCCAAAAATTAATGGAGAAATTCCTTCTATTGATGAAGCAACATCAGATCATGAAAGGCTTCTGGATAGGTATTGTTCATAGGCATATTGCTCATTGTTAAAAGCTAATAAAAATGCTTCCATCATGTATGCATCATTGTTTAGAAGTTTATTAATTGTCATTACATAGAATCCATTGCCATAGGCGTCCATCTTCATTTTGTGTGGGCACTCAACGCCCATATATTAGTATTTTTTGTTCATTCATAGTCTATAAAGCTTAGGTTAGTTTAAAGGATTATTTATTTGTCTACACTTTCTTCTGAAAACTCTTACTCGAACATGTCAAGTTAAGCCACCTATATTTTTTAACAGATTGCAACTATATGACTTTGTGGAGCGTAAGGTACAAGGTGACGGTAATTGTCAGGTTTGTTGCTTTCAACATTCACTTTTCCAATTTTTTGTTCCCCCGCCTGTGCAGAGTGGCTTTAATCATTTTCATTTCAGATCATAAGTTTCTACATCATCAATTAATAATTATTTTATTTTTATTCTTCACCAGTTTCGTGCATTATCTGATCAGTTGTATAACACACCTGATCACCACAAGTTTGTGAGACGAAAAGTTGTAAACCAGGTTAGCCATCTACCCACTACTGCGCTGTTTTTTTTTTTTTTTTAATAATTTTTTTGTTTTATTTTTCATGAACTATTCCTTGGTTCTGATTAGCGAATGATCTTTTAAACAGCTGAAGTCTCATCCAGATATTTATGAAGCATATGTTCCGATGGAATATAGTGAATATTTGGAAAAGATGTCCAAGTACTTTCACTTTTTCTCTTTCTATCTTTCTATAAAAAAAATATTTCGTATAAGCTAACCAATAACAGCTTCCATTTTCATTTTCAATGAAATTAGGAGTGGTGAATGGGGTGATCATGTCACTCTTCAAGCCGCTGCAGATTCGGTATGAGTTTTTGCAACCTACTACATCTATAAAACTGTTTGAATATGTTTGAGTATCTATTGTTGCATGGTTTAAGTATGTTCAATATCTTTCTCCTCTCAACTGTCACTGAATTTAATTTTCATTTTCCATTTCCTGCATATTTCTTCAAATGATGCCATTGACAAACTTACAATAAAATTTGAAAATTGAAATAGGCAATGTAATATGATTGACTTTTAATTTGTTACTAATACCATTTTTTTTCTTCAGTATGGTGTGAGAATATTTGTAATGACTTCTTTCAAAGACACGTGTTGCATTGAGATTCTTCCTAGTTTTGAGAAGCCAAAAGGAGGTAATATTTTTCTAGATTGAGGATTTAGCTTATCTTCACTAAGCATTGGTGCTTCCATAATAGTGAATGAAACTCTGGGTTCAGTATCTGCTTCCTTTTCAGGATTTTCATAAGTAGATATCGAAACCTATGTAGAAATGGTTTTTCAATTTGTGGTGTGTGATAAATATTTTGTACTATAGATTTGTTCCACGTTTTTGGATTATTAGCACATTTTCTCTATTTTGGCTCATACTAACTACTTTAGAATTTTTCCAGTGATTTTCATAAGTTTTTGGGCAGAGGTGCATTACAATTCCATCTATCCTCAAGGAGGTATATCTTTACATTTTTTTTTTTACTTATCTAATCAGTTTTAAACTATTTGGTTTGTTAAATTTTAACATGAGGCAAGTGGAAATCTTTTCTTTCTGTATTTTATTTTCATTAACGTTTATATGTTAGGGAGTTTTTTTTCTTCCAAATATAATGTATGATTTGGTTTATTTGTGATATGTTACCACTGATACAGATATAACTTCAAATGAATCAAGAAAGAAGAAAAGGTGGTGGAGCTTTGAAAGCTCACATTAATAATATGACTAGTTTAGAGAACACCAACTTTCATTCTACACATGGGTGTCTTGTCTTCTATAATTTTATCCATTGTATTCTATATCCAAATTCATCCAAGAGTCTTTCAACTGCCAATAAGGATTTTTTTAATCTAAGTTTATCTCATTTCTTTGATGATAATATTGTAATGATATAAATTTTGGGACGCTGACCTAGCTACATTTCAGTGATATTTTGGATGTTTTTTTTAAAAGAAATAAGGTTTTATACATGAAGTGGTTTTATACATAAAGTGTATTACGTATGTTCTTATTTAGATTTATCATTTCATTCAAATATATACCATTTTAGACCTATCCATCGATGTATTTGTTTGTTAGATGGGAATAAGATTACAGAATCCAAATCTTTAGACTGTAAAAGATCTATCACTAACACTTATTTTGAGGCATTTGGTATATATTTTTTTTATAACTATGTGAAATTTTAAATTATTGATAGTATTATATATTAAATATCTAATTCATTTTTTTAAAAAGATTAGATTTAATTTAGAAAAATTAAATTTTATTTAAAAAGATTAGATTAGATATTTTTGGACTTTTATAGTTTGAGTTTGACTTGGAGTTAGGAGTGACAAAGTGGGAGGTCCGCCTCATTTAAGCCCGTCTAAAAGTGGGGCGGGACAGGGTTGGTCAACTTAAGCGTCCAAGCTCAAAAGCTAAGTTTGCCCCGTTTACTAACGAGTTGGTGGGTCGGTCTGCTAATTTTTTATTTTACAATTTAATTTACTATCTAATTTAAAAAATATATATTTATTACCAAAGAGGTCAACAAATTTTTTTTTTAACAACACATAATAGAACTTTAACATTCCTTAAGTCAAAACAGTTCAAAATATAAAATAAATAAAGACCAATTACAACAACAAAAAAATAATGAAATAAACTCAAGCACAATAACAAACGCATCAAAATAAATAAACAATATATATCAACCTAATCCAATTTAAAAACTAACTGCTAAAAGAACCCAATTAAGAATTTACAAAAGACAAACAATGATAACAATTACACTGCATAAAATATCACAGTGCAGAAAATAGTAGTGCATAAAATATAAACTTTTATTTTGACTGATTCCTTAATAGTTAAATTTTAAATTTATCACATGTATACACTAATAAAATCCTTCATTTTCTTAAAATCAACATCTATTTCTAAAGAAAACATGTAAGTTAATGCTTGACAATTTAATAATTCAGCATGTCATACAATTGTTCTTTTATTTTAAGTTTTTTCAATTAACATATGTATTAGAAAGTTATAGACAGAACGTTACAATTATAATTCAATTTGTTTGTATAATAATTTATAATACAATTCAATCAACATAATTCTAAAAGAAGAATGTTGTTTTTATAGTTAAAGTTGTTTTAATTCTAAGTAAGAAACTAAAAAAGTTTTAACAAAAAGCCCGCAGGAAAAACCCGGTCTGCCCCAGCCCGACCCGCATTTCAAGTGGGTTAGGCGGGGCGGGTTAACTTTAAGTACCGAGCCAAAAACTTCAGTCGAGCCCGCAAAAAATGGCGGGTCAAATCGGGCGACCCGGCGAGCCCGACCCGTTTTGCCATCCCTACTTGGGGTGCAAGCTAACCTAAATCTATAAATAGAGAGAAGCCCTTATTTTGTAAGCATCTCATCTTATCATATTTTGTAATTCATAGTTTGCAGTTGCAAGTGAAATAACAGAATTTCCACAGTTGGGGCAGAGAGTTCTCTGCAAAAAATTGTTAATCTTCTTTTTCTCCAATGTTTACTTTCTTTCATTTTAAACTTTTCTTTCTTTGTCATTATGTGAGTTGAAACAATCTTGAGATCAAGATTGATTGACTGAAATTATCCATAAGTTGTGGTTGAATTTCCAACATGTGGTATTTAGAGCTCCGGTTACGATTCAAGGAAGGAAATGGTGATGACGATGAATCATCCAAACAGTCACTTTCCGGCAAACCTTCCAATTCTCAAGAAAGATTATTCTGAGAATTGGTGCAAGCAAATTAAGGTGGTTTTCTGTTATCAAGATCTTTGGGATCTTGTGAAGGGAGGAGTAACACCGGTTGTAGAAAACACGACGGATCAAGAAAATGCTGCATTCAAAGAGTTGAAGAAGAAAGTTTATAAAGCTCTCTTTATAATCCATCAATATGATATTTTATACTTTGATATATTTATTTTTATCAAAAATGTGACTATCGCGTACAAGTACGGGCACTTACATACCCATAGGGTACGATACGAGTGCCAATGTTGGTAATCAAGCGGGTATGGACTTGAGTACGAAGATTTTGTTCAATTGCGGTATGGAGACGAGTACTATAGTACCCTGTCCATTGCCATCCCTATCTTTATTCTCCTTCAAACTCTCAAACAAAGCATAAATATTTAAAATTACTAGTGAATGATTAAAATACAAAACACGAGTTTTTAAGATTATTAGTGCATGATTAAGGTTTATGTGGAGTGACCTTTTTACATATAGGGGTGATGGCATTTGTTCCCATCCGATCATGACCTCTAATATAACCATTAATAATATCATATAGTAATTGGTAATGCCTCCTTTTTTGATGAACGAGGACATTGAGGTGACGACCAATTAGGGTTTGTAGATATCTACATAATTAGGCTAAAGTTGTGAGTTGTATGATCTGAAGTAAGGCCATAAACTCATGCCTTTTTCAGGGTCGGGTTTGTAGTCCATGTTTTTATGTCTGTTCATAGTCCCCAATCATACATTTTGTACGAAAAAATGTTTAAGAATATTATGTTGGTCCACCATCTCCAAATATGAGGCGTGTAAGGACAACATGCTTAATATATTGTGTTAGTCTACAAATCTCATTTCTAAGAGTGACGTGTGTAACACCCTAAAATTTAATTAATTTATTTAATCAAATTATTCGTACTTTATTAATTGGTAGTTGGTGTGCTTTTAATTAAATATGTATAGTAAGTTGTATGTGTATGTGGGCATTGGTGGGGGATAGTGATAGCATTAGTGGGATGGTATAAGAGTTAGAATAATTAAAATAAGGCATAATACTCTTTTTGGCCCCGTATCTTAACCTCAGGGTTCATATTGGTCCCTTAACTTTAAAAAGGTTCATATTGGTCCCTTAACTCTTCAGAACGTTTCATATTAGTCCTTTTTGTTCTATTAGTGACGAAAACAAAAATCAATCGCTAAATTCGTCGCTAATTAGACAAAAAAAGACTAATTTGGAACGTTTTGAAGAGCAAAGGAACCAATATGGACATTTTTAAAGTTAAGAAATCAAACTGAACCCCGAGGTTAAGATACGGGACCAAAAAAATATTAAACCTTAAAATACTTAAAAATAATTAGAATCAATGATTATTTTTAATTAATTAATTCAATAAGAAAAAATGAGAATGAGTAGAGTTGGGGCTAATTTGACAAAGAAAAGTATAGGGAATAAGGAGAGAGAAAAAATAATATCAGGGGAGAAAAATATAATTATTAAGGAATTGGAATAATTATGTTTTTAGAATAAAAAAAGGTTATAGTAACCTAGAGTAGTCAGTACGTGAAATCATAATTTTGCAAGAAGAAACAAGAACAAGGCTATGACTTGGGGAAGTGAAAGCGCAAATCACAAACCTTGATCAATTTAGAATTTTGACTAAGGATCTAAGATAAGAGGGGAGAAAGGACTTCTATATGGGTGTATTGAATGAAAGGGTAGAGAATAAAAACCTTACTCTCTTTAGAGATTATGTGAGATTCTTATGAATTGTGATTGTTATATGTTCTGAAAATTGATGAATTAAGGTGTAATTATCCAACTTTTGTGACTGAATTGTATGTGTAATATTTTATTTCTGTACATATGAGTTTGTGTCATTTTTGAATTTTTGAACATAAACATAATTTTGATGAAATTAGTGAATCAATTGTGTAATTATGTGATTTGTCACGTTGTTATGATGTTATAACATGTGATATAATTTTATGGGTGTGTTGGGGTGATTGGGAATCAAATTTCAGAGTTCAAGGGAACTTTCAAGGCATAAGTCGTATTTTTGTCTTTTGGTGCAGGATGACAGACGTCATCCAGATGACGAGTTACTCGTTAAGCATCTTGAGACACTGACGGGCGTCAATGCTCTGACGGAGAGACCGTCATGGTCTCTAGGCATGGTTTTCCAAGCCGGTTGTCACTGAGAGTTTTGAGCTGGTGACGGGGGGGGGGGGGGGGGGGATAAATCCAAGTGGAGGAAAATAGGGCTTTGTGTTGTTGTTGTTGTTGTTGTTGTTTGATTATGACATGATGAAACTATTGTTTTTCTTGCTTCTATGATGTTGTTGTTGCTACCAAGAAAACTTATTCCATGAAATTGAAAAACCATGTGGTTGTTGTTGTGATTATTGTCTTGGATTACATGCTGTTTTAGGTCATTGGATGCATCAAGATGATGATTTTTGTGTTTTTCTCATCCAAATGTGTTCATATATTATTCTGGTTCTGCTACGTTTACTACAGTTCGCTAAACAAAGTCATGGGAAGTCTTCTACTGACTTGGTTTGCTAGGAGTTCGCTCAACAAAGTCTGTTCGTTGGATCTCACTAAGCAAACTTGACAACATTGAGAAAAATGCTTGATTCTTGTTTTCACCATAACTTGAGAACAATAACTCTTAGTAACGCGCAGTTGAATTGTTGGGAAGCTCTTTCAATGCTCTATTTTATAGTAAAGTAGAAGCATAGTTTTATGCCAATGATTAATATGATAGTGTCGATAAAATATCATGTATGGTATTATGAAATCGAAGTGAATGTTAACACTTTGTTTCCCTGCTTCCAACATAAACCGGGAATGATAACTTCGATTTTTATGAGAACAGATACGTTAGGAAGCTAACATAGAGTAATATGATATAGAGAGAAGTATTTATGAGTTATCCCACTGTACCTTTCTCTTTGATTTCGGTTAA